GGGGTGGGGGGGCAGAGCTTCAGTGTGAGAAGATGAGAGTGATGGGGGAGGTGTGGGCTGCATAACAATGTGAGTAGACTTTATGCCACTGAGCTGTCACTTAAAAGTGGTTATTAGAATGGCCAAGGTCATACGTATTTTACTACCATAAGAATTGTTTCAGCCCTGGCTGGTGTGGCTCAGTGGAGAGAGTGTTGGCCTGTGGGCTAAAGGGTCCCGGGTTCAATTCCAGTCAAGGGCACATCCCTGGGTTGTGGGCTCGATCCCCAGTAGGGGGCATGCAGGAGACAGCCAATCAATGATTCTCTCTCACCATTGACATTTCTCTCTCTCCCTCTCCCTCTCCCTTCCTCTCTGAAATCAATAAAAATATATTTAAAAACATTGTTCTAAGTGGGCTACATGCCCACTCTCTCGTGTTCAATGGGAAACCAGTGCCCACTCTCACTCTCACAAAAGCGCGCTCCTGACCGCAGGCCCCACGGCCTGTGCGATATGCTCTCAGGAGGCCGGCGCCGTTCTGTCAAGACCCTGAACTGGGGTCATTGTTCAAGGTCCCCACCTCGGCCGCGGCCTCTGGCCAGCCCTTCGCTGCTTCCTGTAATGCTCGCTTACCAGACGTGATCAGATCTGTTAAACAGGCGGGACATTTACGTGGGAAAGGAAGGCTATTTCCTCAATATCAGCGTTTCCTTCTGATATTATACCCTTTGATGGGAACAAAATAAGTTAGCGCTTAGCCATATTCAAGTCTGCCACCTGAACAATGATCTCCACAGGCTTTCAGGAGGATAAATACTGAAAACAAACTTTAAAGTTTGTGTTTTATAGCTACTGTTTATTTTGAAAAATTAAATTCCTTCTAATTCTCTGAATTTTCCCATTTCTACTGTTGGTCCCTGAAACCTCAATAGTAGTTGCTCATGGTTCCCCAGAGCCTCCCAGACACACGGACCCCTCGACAGCACTGCAAGTTCTGTACATCCCCCTCCCCCCAACCCCTTTGGCTTCTGGGCTTCTACTGGCTGCTGGCAATGCACCGGAGCGACCGCGCCACGGGCACCGGAGCGACCGCAGCAGTGCCCACTATTTCCGACTGAGCTTGCCCCGCAGCTGCTGACAGTTTCTTTGCCCTTGGCCCTGTGGTGGACACCAGGTGCTGTGCCTGTGATATGGCCCTTCCCCTCTGCAATCAGGCCTGTGGCGGAGGCCTGCCTGGCCAGTGAGAGGAGTGTGGCGTGCCTGGTGCCAATCAACTCCTGGGCGAAGCTGTAGGAACTAACAAGTGATTTCCGTGCGGGGCACCCCCACCTCCATCAGCCGTGGTCAGAGAAGCATCAGTGCCGACGGGGTCCCGTCGCTGGGCCCATGATCACCTGGGTCAGTCAGCAGGCTGACCGTCCTGCACACGGACATGAACAAACAGCGCTATGACCCTGGGACCTGAGGTCCTCACCGCTGTCCAGCCGAGGACGGAGCCGCCCTGAGTGACACTCCCTTCCCGTCCCTGCACAGGCTCCGCTCACCTCCACCTCATCGCTCATCACTTCTCCTGACAGGACCGCTTTAGCTTCATCACTCTGATGAGCACAATTACAATCCATTTAAATGAAAAGTTACCTTCCAGGTGGTTTTCACTCTGCTGGGAGGCACAGTTCACACGTTCTGTACTTTGGTTGCTTGTCTTACTCCGGTCACTAAAAACAGAACAAAACACACACGGGACACGTCAGCTACCATGAATCACCATTTCAGTTTACTCGGAGACGGAGAAAGGAAACAACACTCGTTCGGCGATCGAAATGCCACGTGCTGTTCTAGGTGTTAACGCACAGGATTTCACTTGCCTCTCACCAGGGCACTCAGAGCACTCATCACCCTCAGCCTACAGCAGACTGAGGCGAGGAAGTGAAGTTAATCTGCCCAATAAGTAAAACCTAAGGTTACAAAGCCCCGACCTCTCTACCACCCGAAGCCACTCCTCCCCAGGAGCTGAAATCCCCTGCCTGGCCTGACAAGAAGTTCCCGGCTGTTAACGGAACGCAAGCAGCTGATTTCTGCACACCTGGCGTTTAGTAATGGAGGTGGTGAAGCGCCATCTAATATCAGAGAACAATGTTCTGGATGGACTAAAAGCATAAAGTCGATACGCTGACGGAGGAAGCCAGCCGCTGAGCAGGCTGGGGGCAGGGTTCCGGGTTCCCGAGTGCAATGGACCAGGACAGGGCCCCCCACACGCTCAGAATCGCTGAGCACAAACCCAGTGGGGTGGCTGCACATCTGCTCAAGGAAACTATGTCTCCACGGGCGGGGCTGTGAGCATAAAATACCCCGGTGTCCGAGGTACAAATGCCAGAGGCGGGAGAACAGGCATGAACTAGATGCAAGAATTAAACAACCGGCTTCATGGCCGCGCAGCAACCCACTCAGGGCTGCGCTTTACACCTGTAGCACCTTTCACCAGCTTTCAATGCGGCCATGAGAACGTGTTTCTATAATTTCCGTTTCCTGCACAGCTGTGTGTTTTGGAATCTGGAAATAACCACTGAAAACAAGAACCTGAAACATCGAACGACCCGCAGTTCCCGGGTGTCGTTCCTTTGAGCTCAAGCTCCTTCCATCACACTGAGCAGACCCTGGACTTTGAAAATCACTTCAAATGATTCAGGAGGCGCCTGGGGAGGGGCGCTCCCTCCCAGGACTGCACTACCTGGGGGGCTCCGCGGTCCCGGCGCCGTCCACACCCGGCGAGTCCAGGCTGGCGGCTCCGCTGCTGACGTGGTCGCTGCTCTCGCTGCCGGACTCGGTCCTCTGCCCCTGCCAGGCGTCCCCAGGGACGCCCGTCTCGGCGAGGCCTTTCCCCGGGCCGTCGGGGGAACGCCTGCTGCCCAGCTCCGGCCTCGCTTCATCCTCGTAGATGGTCATCAAGCACTTCTGCTTCGGCGGCCCCTGGGGCCAGCTGCTGGGGCTCTGGTCCCTGCATCTGGGCGTGTGACTGGCGCCCGGCCTGTGCCGTGGGCTGTGCTGCCGTTTCTCACTCTCGCTGAGGACACTGTCGACATTCAGGGTCTCTCTCATGGGCTTCCAGCCTCGGCTCCCGCTCCTGCTGTGGCGGCTGCTGCCTTTACCCCGAGAGTCCAGGCTGCTGTCTGTCTCGTATCCAGGGCCGCTGTCGCCCTGCACCCCCAGACCAGGAGCCTGGGGCCTCCCCGCACGGGGGACTTGCGCAGACGCCCGGCTCTGGGTGGGTGGGTCCTGGCCACATGTCCCCCGCCCCTGACCGGGGGACGCGGGGCGACTGCTGTATTGTCGGAAGCCGTTTGGGGCAGGCGGTGATCTGGACTTGACGCGTGGAAGGTCTTCATCCAGCACATCTTTAAAACAAATAAGGAGACACACGACCACTCTCAGGGCCGCCTCAGCCACAGCTACTTGGAGAAGATGTCTAAGCAGGAGGAGTAAGCGGCGATTCCACCACCCAGGACTCGAGTCCTGTGCTGAGGCGTTTGTAAATTAAACGGCTACATACTGACTTTAAAATAACTCTAAAGAGATCACAAGATAATTAGTTTTTTAAAAAACAGTATTCCACCTCACTTATGGTTCATGGAAATCATAAAAATACGTTCTACCTCTTATGCTAGCAGAGTGTTGAAAGTCTGTGAGATCAATCGCTGCGGAGGGGGAGGGCAGACGCCCAGTCGCTGTGGTGGGACCGTGGACGGGTCCCCCATTAGGAGGGCAATTGAGCCACAGCGACCAAGTCCAAAACAGACCCCCTGACCCAGCGATTCCTGGCAAGGATCCTGCTGTGGCTGTACACGCGGGCACACAAAGGTCAATCTCTCACCCTTTCTACAGGCCGCGTCTCAGTTACACCTGGCTGTGCACAGGGAAAGTGCTGAGGCTCGTGGTGAATGGAACAACGATGGGGACCGAGGGGCAGTCGGGGCGCCAGGAAAGTGAGCTCCTGTCACTTTTTCTATAATCCTCCTCACTGAGTGCACCACGAGTGGGCTGCAATCAATTTTAATTAAAAATTAAATAAATTGCCCAGCCAGTGTGGCTCATCACCAGGAGGTCATGGGTCATGCCTGGGTTGTGGGCTCAATCCCCTGTAGGGAGGGTGTGGGAGGCAACCAATCAATGCTTTTCTCTCATCATCGATGTTTCCCTCTCCCTCCCTCCCTCTTTCTCTCTCTCTCTCTCTCTCTCTCTCCCTCCCTCTCCCTCTCCCTCTTCCTCTCTGAAATCAATCAAAATATATTTAAAAAAAATTTAAAGAAATTAACTTTTATTCATTTAACTTTGAATTAAAAGCTAAAACAGCAAAGTATTCCAGACTAGAATTAAACAAGAATGAGTAAAATTTACATCTACAGGTTCAACAGGTGTATTAGAGAAATCATATTAAGGTACATGGCATATAAACAGATACATATATTTAAAACTAGAGGCCCGGTGCACGAAATTCGTGCACTCGAGGAGTGGGGAAGGGGTCCCTCAGCCCGGCTTGCACCCTCTCACAATCTGGGAGCCCTCAGGGGATGTCCGATCAGTCGGACATCCTTAATATTGCCGCAGAGGCAGGAGAGGCTCCTGCCACCGCCGCTGCGCTCGTCAGCTGTGAACCTGGCCTCTGGCTGAGGGGCACTCCCCTTGTGGGAGCACACTGACCACCAGGGGGCAGCTCCTGCATTGAGTGTCTGCCCCCTGGTGGTCAGTGTGTGTGATAGAGACCAGTCATTCTGCCTTTTGGTCAATTTGCATATTACCCTTTTATTATATAGGATAGGATGGTTAAACTGTACTCAAGCTATAAAATGTAGTGTTCCGATAAGGCTTTAGGGCCCCTTTCTAACGCGCGCTGCCCGCCCTTGGCTCACCTCGGTGCCGACCCGCGTCCCTCTTCTGCGAGCTCAGGAGGCGCCTCTGCTCCAGCGCCTTCAGGGCACACTCCCTGGAGAGGCCCTTCATCTTCTCGCGGGTGTCGCTGGGTCCCGACTTAGCTGTAGGGGAAACCAGTCGTCCAGTCAGGAAGCACATCCTTTTCTAACTGCTCACTACGCACACAAACTGCATTGTATGAAACATGTAAGACACTCTGTGTTAAAAACAAAACACGCATTAAAGTAAGAGTAAACTCATTTTTATGTTTAACTAAATCAAGTTAGTGTGATGTCTCCTGGCAATGGAGATGCGTGTTACCTTTAAAACTTGTCAAGCATCTAAAGTGAGTGTGCAGGAGAATGAGCTTCTACTGAAATGTAAGACCTAAAGGCAGGTGATGGGCGCCATGTGTCCTAACTCACTCCCATCTCGAGATGAGCACAAGTACAGCTCCATCTGGGATCGAAAAGCAGAAGTAACGAACCTGCCAAGTTCACATCACTCCCATGTAGGGACAGATAGCGCCAAGCTGTCTGATGCCAACGTGTATGTGAACACACACACAGTTCCTGGGCTTCAATTAGGTATGTTTAGAAAAACGGATAATGGCTTAATCCAAAGTATCAACAATACATAAGAGGGAAACGGTATGTTTCCATTTAGAATTTTAAAAATCACTTAGTGTACTTCTTTGTTGATGGTAACTGTTAATTCTGAATCTTACCTTCCTTGATTATGGGTTACCTTTTTGGTTAAACATTATTTCACTAATATATTAAGAAGTTGCCCAGCTGGTGTGGCCAGTGGTTGAGCGTCAACCCTTGAACCAGGAGGTCATGGTTCGATTCCCATGGGCTTGATCCCCAGTAGGGGGCATGCAGGAAGCGGCTGATGGCTAATTCTCTCTCCCTCTCCCTTCCTCTCTTTGAAATCAATTTTAAAAACAAAACACAGTCCTAGCTGGTTTGGCCCAGTGGATAGAGTGTAGGCCTGTGGACTGATGGGTCCCAGGTTTGATTCTTGTCAAGGGCACATACCTCAGTTGAAGGCCCCTGAATCCCCAGCCCTAGGTGGGGCTCGTATGGGAAACAACCAATCGATGTGTCTTTCTCACATCAATGTTTCCCTCTCTCTGTCTCTCCCCCTCCCTTCCACTCTCTCTTGAAAAAAATCTCCTCAGGTGAGGATTAACAACAAATTTTTTTTTAAAAAGTTGCTTACAAAGCATCCTGAACAGCCACCCAAGTAGAATGAGGGTGTCTCTGAGCCGTGCTGCACACCGCACTGAGGTCTCACTCCAGACCTGTCTCTGAACTCGGGTTGCAAAAATTAAAGTTGTGTGATGACAATAACAGGAGAGCTGAATGACGAGGATAAAAACAAACTCGACTGTAGCTTTGAACGGCCACAGCAGTCGCTAATTGTAAACTTAATTCTGGCACGTGAGCCGAATGGTTAACTGTGTTTTTCCTCTCAAGCTGGTAACGGCCACCTGAAGGAGAAGCCACAGTTTTGGTAACAGTCCAGACTGCCTCTGGCCTGCGAGGGCTGGGAGCCGTGGAGAAGCTCGGGCCCTGGTCGGGTCCAACTGTCCCGATGAGGCCACACATCTCAGACGCGCATCAATGGAAAGGCAGTTTTGCTGCTGCTTGTCACTGTCGCCTGGTCCCTGCCAGGAGTGAGTCAGGAAGTGAAGCCGGGCCAGCACGTCTCCTCAGGGACTGTGAAGACGCAACTGAAACACATACCTGCTCCTCGGCCTCTGCTCGCCGGGATGTGGCTCCGACCGAAGGATGAAATGTCATCTGTTTGAAATTTCTGACTTTCTCTCTGTTTGTCCTGATCACCAAATCCATTCTCTTTGGGATTATCTGACTTATAAATCGAGGGCCTTTCAGATCCTTAAAAAGAGAAGCACAAATGCATCATCCCTTTCCTCCTCCTACTAGAACAGGTGTCTGAGTCATCCTTTCAGATGCTTTTAATACTGTAGACAATTACTGAAACTCAGAGGACTGACATCTTCCAAGGTCTTCTAAGTGCCGTGAATGCACACAGACTCCCTCGCTGCTCTGGGCGTTCCCGGTGGCTACCTCACTTTCAATCCCAATGCCTCCTGCTAGAAAGAGCTCGCAGCTGGCAGCCCCTCTGTGCCTGTGTGACCACTGTCGTGGGTGGCTCCCAGCGGGGCCTGTGAGGCCACTGGTCAGGAAAGATGATAAATATCAACTCAATGTATTAGAATCTTCCTGAACTCCGTCTGAAAGTAAATTTTTAAATTATCCTCAACCTTCATTTTACATTCAGTACTAGAGGCCCGGTGCACAAAATTTTTGCACTGGGGGAGTCCCCTCAGCCCAGCCTGCACCCTCTCACAGTCCGGGAGCCCTCAGGGGCCTAAGCCGCCAGACACCTTAGCGCCACTGCCACCGCCCACCGCTGTGCTCGCCAGCCGTGAGCCTGGCTTCTAGTTGAGCGGCATTCCCCCTGTGGGAGCACACTGACCACCAGAGGGCAGCTCCTACCGGTCATTCCACCATTTGGTCCATTTGCATATTAGCCTTTTATTACATAGGATATTAGTATTCCTAGTATGACTGTCAGAAAGAAAAACACTAAACTAAAAGGCAAAGAATTACCCATATTTTCCACCCCGGGTCTCTGATGTGGCCAGCTGACGACCTGCCTGAGTGCATCTTCGGTGGAAACCGCCGTGCCGTCGGGGTTGGCGTAAAACAGCAGCAGGGGCTGGAAGTGGCACCGGAGGCACTTGGACACCACGTCCTTCCATCTCGTTCCCACCTTTATAAAACCACAGGGGGCAAAACCAAACCTGTCAGCAACCTGCTACCCGAAAAGGCAGGGGCTGAAATAATCTGCACATTAAAGATGTTTACGACATTCAGATGCTAGCCAGCCGTTCAATTGTCTGCTGTATTATATGATTAACTTTATTTTATTTAATGAGTCTAATTAAAAATCTTTAAACATTAAAAAGTTGATGGGCCAAATTATACACTCTCTATCAAGATTTGGATTAGCGAATTTTAGAAAGCTTTTCTCACACACATGGTCAACTGCCTTTTGGCAACGATTAAAGGGAGTTTAATGGGGAAATATAAAAGTCGATACCACAAATGATGCTACAGCAATGGGAGGAAAAAGAAAGAAGACACAACTACACCTGAAGCCCAATAATGAACTCAGGAGTCATGTAAAATCTCTCGAGTTTACAGAAGAAAATGCGAGAAAATATTAACCTCAGGGAAAGTAAAAATGTCTTACCAGGACATCAAACAAACCAAAGAAAAAATATAAAATTGGATTCCATGAAATGAACGAGTAACTTCTGCTCCATGAAAAACGCCATTAACAAAATGGAAAAAATAAAACAAAACCACCACCTATATCTAATAAAGGAGGGCTGTGCCGGATACAGAACTCCTACAGCTCAGTAAGAAGAAAATAATCCAACTTGAAAAATGGGCAAATTATCTGAAGTGACACGTCACTAAAGAGACATAGGAATGGCCAGTAAGCACAGGAAGAGTTGTCCAAGACATCATTGTTCAAAGGGAAGTGAATGAAAACCACAGTGAGGCAACATTAGGGCCCCTGGAAGGCTAACATAAGAGACTCCCAGCAGGGGCGCTACGCGGGGAGGAGGGAGATGCGCAGTGTCTGTGGACAGCCATTGTCAGTTCACATACAGCTGACCGCACACTTAGCAGACCACCCAGACATCCCACCTGGTGCTGGGAGCAACGGAAAAACGTGTTCACACCAAGACTCTCCCTACCTTAACAGGACCACTGCTCTATACAGCCACAGGATGGAACACCGCACGCGTGAATCCTAAACGACATGTGCTTGGCAAAGCAAGCCAGCCTCAGAGGGATGTGTACGGGGAAGGCCATCCCCACGATGCTGAAGAGGGAGCAGAACTAATCTAGAGAGCAGCCGCGATTCCTGGGCGGGGTGGGAGGGGCCGACAGGAACGTGAGACCATGCGGGGGTGGGGGTGGGGGGGGTGGGGCATGCTTTGTGCTATATGGTGTGGAGGTCACACAGATGTGTGTACAGTTGCCAAACACTTACATAGGTATGTTTTAAGGTTTGTAAATTACCTACATATATATAAAGCCAGCAACTGGAACACTGTAATGACCAGAACGACCGGTTGCTATGACGCCCACTGAAGCCAGTGAACTGGCTGATGGGGGGGTGGGCCCAGTGGCCAACCTCCTGTGGCCCCTCCCCCCGGCTGGCTGCCCCCGATTGCCCCACCTACCCCAATTAGGGGCGGGGACAGCTGGCCAACTGCCTGTGGTCCCTCCCCCTTGCCAGCCCCACCCCCAAAGAGCCTCCACAACCCCAATCAGCCCACAGCCCCTCCCCTAGCCAGCTCCACCCCTTACCAGCCCCCCACATTGATCAGGGGCAGGGCTGGCAGCCAACCTCCCGCAGCCCCTCCCCCAATCCACCCCCCCACACACACACCAATTGAGGGAGGGTCAGCTGGCCCACAGCCCCGCCCCACGGCCGGCCAGCCCAGCCCTAATTGGGCCCTGATCGGGGCCGGGCTGGTCAGACCCCACCTGTGCACGAATTCGTGCATTGGGCCTCTAGTACCCCTATAACGTTGATTTAAAAACAAAACAAAACCAACCAAACAGGAACTGGTGCGTTCTAGAATGCTGGCTTCTGCGGGGAAGGGAGGGCTGTAAAAAGTCTGAAGAATTTTTCAAACTACACGCTCAGCTGCTGACCCTCCTGACCGGGGACGCTGACATACTCGAGGAACTAGATTAACTTGAAAGCAAAACAAATATAAACTCACAGGGTGACTGCACACCCACGTCCTCCTTTGAGCTTTGACAAGTTAAATGATGTGGGTGCCAAGTAGGACGGCCAAAAGGTCTACTCACGGACGCAGGTGAAGCCTCTTAAAGAGCTGCTATAGCAAAGCCTGAGGAAATCCGAGCAAAAGCTGCTTTTAGAACATAAGCACCAGAATGTCCCGTTGGCTTTACTGAGCACAATCACATGAACTACACCCTCCCAGGCACACGGCAAGCCCACGCATTCTGATGAGTGTGCACAGGTGTGCAGCCTCACTCCTCGCTCCCTCTGCAGGGCCTTCCGTCACTGTTTCCTCCTGTCAGGGAATTTTGTGTCAGTGGAATCCGTATTTGGCCGTGTGTCTCGCTTCTGTCATCGGCACAATGGTTTAGGATGTCCCACACGTGTCAGTTCATTCCTGTCTGATGGGCATCAAGCTCCACTGTGCGCTTGGACCACAACGTGGTTATCTGCTCACCTGCTGATGGACATTTGGGGTCCCAGTGGGGTTATAGGAATAAAACTCCCAGGGACACTCAAGGGCAGGCTGTGTATGGACACGTCCTCAGGGAGTGGTGCTGCTGGCTGCATGGTAAGATTATGTGTGCAAGAAGCTGACACACCTCTCTAAGGTGGCTGCTCCATGCGGCACTGCCATGCGCCTGAAGCTGACGCACCTCTCTAAGGTGGCTGCTCCATGCGGCACTGCCACGCGCATGCGTCAGGGACCTGGCTGCTTGCTGCCCTCCACGTTCCTGGTGAGGTTGGCACTGCATGCTCCTGCATCAGGGACCTGGCTGTTTGATGCCCTCCACGCTCCCGGTGAGGTCGACACTGCCACGCACATGCGTCAGGGACCTGGCTGCTTGCTGCCCTCCACGTTCCTGGTGAGGTTGGCACTGCATGCTCCTGCATCAGGGACCTGGCTGTTTGATGCCCTCCACGCTCCCGGTGAGGTCGGCACTGCCATGCGCCTGAGTCAGGGTCCTGGCTGTTTGACGCCCTCCACGCTCCCGGTGAGGTCGGGCTTTGGAATTTATCCTCCTAACAGCTGAGTCTGAACCTCACTGTGAACTGAGTGTGTTTCTTTGTGCCCAATCAGGCTGAGTGTCAGTGCAAGGGCTGTTCACCTGTCTCCTCTGGTGAACTGTCCAAAGCTTTTGTGTACCAGACAGAAGGATGGTGCGTATGGATCCCTGGTAGCTACACTAACATTTATTTGTCGCCCTTTTATTATTCTAGATATGGAGCCAGCTTCAAAACAAACCTGATTTCAAAAACTAATAAAAGGATTCCAAGAACTGTCATTAAAATCACTTATTATTTTATATAAGCATTTATATCTAATAATCATTCTATATAATTACTACAGGCCTGGTACATGATTTCGTGCATGGGTGGGGTCCCTTGGCCAGGAGGTGGGGACAGCGGGAGGTTGGCCGGCCATGAGATTGGCTGTAGGAGTGCACTAACCCCCAGGATATAGCTCCTGCATTGAGCGCCTGCCCCCTGGTGGTCAGTATGTGTCATAGCAACCGGTTGTTCAGTCACTTAGGCTTTTATATATATAGATACATTCCTTTTATCACTGTCACTATTATATTAATATTAGAGGCCCTAGCACAAAATTTGTGCAAGAGTAGGCCTTCCTTCCCCCAGCTGCCGGCACCAGCTTTCCTCCAGCTGCCAGCAGGCACTCGGGACCTGGGCTTCCCTCGCAGCCCCAGCTTCGTCCAGAAGGTTGTCCAGAAGGATATCTGGTCTAATTAGCATATTATGCTTTTATTATTGTAGGTCATTATTACATCATTTATTCCTGAAGAGCATAAACCACAGTTAGCATCCCAGTTCAGAGTGTCACCTACCTCTTTCACATTTGCGTCATCGAAAAACACCCACTTGGAACTCTTGGTGTGAAATGTGAAGGCACAGTAGTGCCGGCTGGTGTAGCAGATCAGACCGACGAGGTGAAGTTCACTGTTTTTGGCATTTTCATCAGTAACCCTATAAAAAAGCTGTTTGGAAAATTAGTAATTTAGGACTGTATCCTTAAAAGTGAAGAGCAGTGATGTGCTATCATGTATCTGACTCCCCATAAACAGCATCTCCCGGGCGTGCTGCCCACCCTGCGCTGCCCGGTGTGACGACACCACGGCCCTGTGCGCTCCCCAGTTACACTTCCATCGCCTCAGGAGCAGTACAGGAAGTCCTGACTTTAGCTCAGTAATACGGTGTCTCCAACAGAACTGACACGGTACATCTACAGACTCAAAATATGAAATAAATCACCCATTTTCTGATCGTTCTTGATTGAATCACATATGTGAACACACATTAAACTTGTCACCTAAAAGATAATTTTCTAAAAGTTTCATTGTGACATAAACCAATTCAAAATAGTTAACTAAGATGGTAAAAGCATATAAGCCAACAGTTCATTTACATTTATGATCACATCACCATCACACTAGAGCAGCAGTTCTCAACCTCCCAAAGCCGCAACCCTTTAATACAGCTCCTCATGTTGTGGTGACCCCCACCCATAACATTATTTTCGTTGCTACTTCATAACTGTAATGTTGCTACTGTTATGAATCGTCATGTAAATATCTGATATACAGGATGTATTTTCATTGTTACAAATTGAACATAATTAAAGCACAATGATTAATCACAAAAACAATATGTAATTATATATGTGTTTTCCGATGGTCTTAGGCAACCCCTGTGAAAGGGTAGGGGTCGCAACCCACAGGTTGAGAACCGCTGCTCTGGAGTGATAGGAGCCGCAGCAGGAGACAGTGAGAAGCGAAAGCCCCTCCCGGCCTGGGCTCTGAGGAAGTCCAGTTAGCCTGACTAGGGCAGCTCCAGAGAGTTCCAATGAACCTCCTTCTCTGAGAAAGAACACTTAGTTCTGAAAACCAGCCGCTGCATGTGTGTCCGAGAGTGCAAAACTACAAGGGAGGAGAAGGAAAGGCGGAGATACCCCGGGGAGGGAGAGGTGCGTGGCCAGGCTCCGAACCACGTCGCTGGTCAGGTCCGACTGCTCGGAGTCCCAGACCAGGCCGATGGTGACGATCTCCGGGCAGTTCATCAGGACGCGGCGGATCTTTATTTTCTGGCCACAGTTACTCTAAAGAAAAACACAAAAGGCAAGTTTAGGAATTACTGAAACAGACATACCACAGGTGGCGCCTTATACAGTTTGCATGATGCAGTCACACTCTTAACATGCATTGCAAATTTATTCTTTAGCATATTAAAATAAACTTCTAACAAACTATTTCTCTTAATTATTGATTAAACAGGAAGTTTATTTTAAATCAAAGTGCTTTTCTTCAGTATTTTTGTAAATGTTAAAACAAGAATCCAGTCTAAAAAATCAGAAATAGAACCCCTGAAATGATTAATAACAGTACATCAGAAAAGAATACCATTGTAAAGTTCAAAGAAAAAAAAAGAAACTGTGTCTTTAGTGAAATGATAGATTTCTGAACTTAAAAAAAAAAAAAATTTACATATGCTACCTAAATCCTTCCAATGTTGAGTGTCTAAAGAACTAGTACTGAGATAAACAGCTCGCATGGTATAGTTACCTAAAATAACACTGCAAAAACAAATTCTTAAAAGTAATTCCATAGACAATAAATGACATGGTAACTTCTGGATGTCTCCTTTAAGCGCACACACAGAAACCACCGAGAGCCCCAAACTGTGCTTACGGGACACTTGCGATAGTCATCCGTGGTATTCGCTGCTTGCAACAATTCCGCAAACATTTCGGGCCTCACGCGCTCATGCCTGTCCGCCATTCTTCCAACTTCGTTGCTACAAAAGAAAGCAGCAGTCCCAAATGCGGCCTATGTATGAAATTATGTATGAAAAATACTAAGTTATCAATATATGCAGGATCACTTTTTCTGTCTTAAAACATGATTTTGTATAAAAAATTAACCATAAATTTCCATAAAGTGAAAACCATGAAATTTGGCGGGTATGTGATAAAAAATCAGGTCAAGAATGGAGGAGCACAGGAAGTATAGCACCGTTTGGAACTACACGAACGAGGTGAGATGCTCTCCGTCTAAAGGCAGCTGTAAGTCAAATATCTGTTTTACATTATGACTTGGATTATGACAGCAGTTACTGAGGGTGTGGGTACAGACTGGGACCTAACAGGCTGTGGGCAGGCTCCCTCTCTGGCCCAAGGCTCTCAGGGGCAGTTCCTTCCAGCTGAGAGCAGGCTGCCCACTGGGAAGGCCGGCCAGAGCCACGCTCCCCTCGGCACGCTCGCCATGTCATCGGGCCGAGGTGCCTGCCACTCTCTATTCGGCCTCCCTGGAGTCACCGTTTACACACATGCGTCAGGTCTCCTTAGGCAAGTCGTTAAGCATTTCCAAGAGGCTGAATGTGGCTCAAGTACCCCTCCTTCCCATCCCAGACGCCCTGGCTCTGTTTAATGTGAGTCCCAGGGCAGGACATACTGACAGGTCAGCGGTAAACAGCACACAATACGCAGCCACAGCTAAAGCACCCTCCTCCTCACGCACCTCACCGTGCACAGAGAGCACGAACGCTGACTGCATCAGACCCGGCTGTCGGGGGAGTGGACAGCCAAATACTGAATCGGAAGTGAAACCCACTGGCTTTCAATCTTAATTGGTCTATGTGTCAGATCAACCTTATTAAACCTATTTCCTCATCAACGAAACAGTGTTGTTGTCAAGATTAAAGTGACAATTTATGGAAAGCCTGGAACACAGTAAGCATTCAGTAAGTGATCTCCAATCCTCAATGCCCACAAAGGAGACTATCAGAATTCAGTCTGGGCTCCTGCGACCTGGGGCGCGGGCCAGGGCGCACGGACGGGGCGCTAGTTTGTACGGCCTCGGCGACTGCGCAGGGACACGCGCGCACAGGAGCTGCCGAGCGCAGGCTTACCGCCCTCCCTCTGTGCGGCTCTCCTGTTCCAAACCACCCTACGCTTCATGCAAAGAGAACAAACCAGCCGCAAATGACTCAAGTTCAGGGAATGTTTCTCTAAACCGACGTCCCCCCAGCTCTGTACAGACAAGCAAGATGCTAAAAGCTAAACACACACAAGTCACAAGTAACCCAGTTGCTATTGCCCAACAGCGCTTAGGAACAGCTGTGCTGCACCCAGAGGAGGAGGGCGAAGGGGCGGTGGATGAGGAGCGCCGCCTCACTGCGGGAGATGACGCTGCGGCCTGAGAAACCAGCAACGGATCTGACTGAGGTCAGCGACCCCCTTTGGCTTCGGCACTAAAACACCTACAGCATCTGTACCTTAGTCAGTGTTTGCACACACACACAGCACATAGCATTCTCTCCACTGCCTGCTGGGAGTGTTCAAGGGATGGTGGTTGTGTGAAGTCTGGCGATACTTCTGGGTCCCTAACTAGTACTGTTTCCTGGGCAGGCAGAGCGGAGCAGGCGGGCAAGCCAGGAAATTCCTATCCCAGGCGATGGTGAGGCCTTCAGGCCGCAGACCTATCGAGGACTGTGTTCACTGTTTCCTTTCTTTCCTGCTTACCCTGCTTCCATCACCACGGGGCACACGCGGGGCTCACAGGGGACACGGCCACTACAAAGGTCACACCTGCCGAAGTCAGGGAGTCATGTGCAGCTCCCTGACCACTCGCTTGTCGTTTTTTAAAAACATAATTTTGTTGATTTTTAGAGAGAGGAAGGAAGAAAGAGAGAAACATCGATGTGAAAGCGATCAAAGATTGGCTGCCTTCTGCACACCCACCATGGGGAATCGAGCCCACACATGTGCCCTGCCCAGGAATCGAACCAGCACCCTCTCGGTGCATGGGACAACGCCCAACCACTGAGCCACACGGCCAGGCTGCTGGTCATTTCCAGCCCTCCTGCGCAGTTCCAAAGACTTGCTCTAGATGTGAACAGGCATGCATTTGACTCCTGTTTTGCACATTTCACTAAGTGGTGGGTGCATCTGGCTAACTCAGAAACACCCGACTGAGACAGACACCACTGAGTACCTCCGATGGCCGCAGCCCAAGTCCCAGACAGAGAGCAGATACTCACGGGTGCGGTGGGCTTACAAAGTAAATGCTTGCTGGGCCTCGCTGTGCTAGTAAAGCTTTGGTGAAGGTGCTTTCCGGTTCTTACCACAGGGCTGTCGTCGAAATGTACCGCACGAATTCTGTGAAAGGCAGAGGGTCTGATGAGGCCCCACAGCTACGACACACGCACTGCGGCAGAAACAGACGCTTAATGCACGGCTCGTGGAACACAAACGGCATCTGAGGAGCGAGGTCGGCGCCTCACCTGCTCGTACAGCGTCATGGCGAACTTCTGGTGCGCGACGCAGCACTTGGAGGTGCACATGTCCGCGTCCCGGCTGGGCACGATGTGGAAGTGGATCCTCTCCAAGATATTTTCCTGGTTCAAAAGCAGAAGACATGTGAGTGGTGAATCTGGCAGAGACACTTCCCTTTATACAGCCCTTTATAACCTCACGGACTTAAGCCTTTTACGGTTTCCCAGGCTGGACTAGGAGTGCCCTACTTATTGCCAGCTCTCCTGCTAATGACACCTCGAGTGTTGGTCAACTGTTCACCACCTGTGGCGTCAGCTTAAGACCATCAAATAAAAAGAAACATTCATTTCATAAATTTAACGAAAAAAACAATGTATAGGGTTTTTTGTGTTTTTTTTTAAAATATATTTTATTGATTTTTTACAGAGAGGAAGGAAGAGAAATAGTTAGAAACATCGATGAGAGAGAAACATCGATCAGCTGCCTCCTGCACACCCCCTACTGGGGATATGCCTGCAACCAAGGTACATGCCCTTGACCGGAATCGAACCTGAGACCTTTCAGTCCGCAGGCCGGTGCTCTATCCACTGAGCCAAACCGGTTTTGGCAATGTATGGTTTTAATAAAGATTTTAAAAATCTTTTTAAAAATCAAGGTATGGTAGCTGACATCTAGGACTTAATACCAGGGAAGAATTTCCTATGTTTCCTGTTAATTAAGAAACAATCCTACGTGGCTCACGTGGACAGTCCACGTAACTCACGTCCATGGGATGGTCCATGCAATGATAACACCTGCAACTCACCATGCAGGGGTGTGCTCCCCACAGGCTCGTGGGACAGCTCAGGTCTAACATCACCAAGGCATTTACTTCAACAAATGACCCTCTTTTCTCAAAGAGTAAATAATGGATCCCTTCAACCACCTTGAAAACAGGTGTCAAGCCTGGACTGCTAGGTCTCCATGAGAAAGCCTATCATGTGTTAGTACCTGTCAGTGAAGTGAACTACAGATCTCAGTACTGTGCCCAGTGTTTAGAGCATGGACCGATGATGAAGGTGAGAACCGTAAAAGCCCATTTCATGCTGTGAGTGCTGCTCTGGGCGTTTAGTCACCATGGCACGTGTGCTGAGCAGCCCCCAGGCCAGGAGCTGAGAGGATGCTCTCTAAAGACAAGAACAGAAACCCAGGGCGCTACGGGGGCCGTGACCTTGCCATGTCCAGCAGGCCCAACTGAGGCTGCGCCTGGACAACTGAATACATCAGACACTGTGAGTACTTCGGGGCCCTGAGCAAAGGCTGTGAAAGGGGACTGTGACCACTCACTAGCAGGGACAGTCCAGGGACGCAGAGCGAGGGCCTGCAGTTCAACTGAAGGGCTTTCCGTGTCAGGAGAGAGTCTAGACTCGAGTCACAGAAATATCAGGAGAGCAAGCATTAGACGGAAGAAAATGGTATTAACCAGGGCCATTAAAAAAAGACTGTAAGGCCCTTGGTGTGGCTCAGTGGATAGAGCGTCAGCCTGCAAACGGAAGGGTCCCGGGTTCAATTCTGGCCAAGGACACATGCCCAGGTTGTGGGCTCCATCTCCAGCAGGGGGCATGCAGGAGGCAGCCGATCAACGATTCTCTCTCATCTGATGTTTCTCTCTCTCTCTCTCCCTCTCCCTTCCTCTCAGAAATCAATAAAAATATATTTTTAAAAAATCAGACTATAAGGGGCCAGACTGAAAGGCCACTAGGCAGGAGGCGTCGCTGGAGCCTGTGGCAGGAAGAGG